CCACCCCCACACATCCCCCGCGGCCCCCCCACGCTCTGTGTGAAACCTCCTTACATATGTGGACCGCCAATAATGTGCCAATAATTACGCTGGGATAACCTACTGCTCAGAATCCTGTGGGGGACTAGGTTGCTCATGCGGCTTTCCATCATCAAGAGGCTTGTTCTATCGTATATACCATAAACCACTTGACGAAGACATATACGAAATATTTCATTGTCCAACATGGTTCCAAACCATCTCACTTGAACCAAAATTAACGGAGCCCAACAAGTATCCAAAAGCTTTGAACTGCAACCATACACCAAGAAAAGCATCGATAATACATCGTTTGGAATGACAAGCTTTACATTTCCATCAATATCAATACTATATCAAAGCTTCCTTACTGACGGTGAAACGACAGCATTTATCCGCCAAGACAGACAGTTTAGCTACGCATGTAGCAGTAATGTGCCAACATTAAATTCCACAGGCGACTGTACCATAAAGGACACTTGCAAATGCAGTCCAGCCAAAGATTATATTAACTGCTATTGCACCCACGACAATATCTCTAAATTCTTGCAGCTTTCAAATGCACTACCCTTACCATTACCAAGCGATTTGTTATCTACGGAAGGACTCAATATCATACCAACCGTCAGAACAAGCGCGCTAGCCACAGAACTAACACTTCTATTAGACCCACTTACAAAGAGCATCATACAGAAAATTGAAAATTTCCAATGCAACATTTTTCTAGAACAACTAATCGGATGCTATAAGTGTCTCAAAGGCGCACAAGCCACAATTTTTTTTGCGAATCAGACCGTCAACAATCAATCGCACAAGTAAATTGCGACCAGCATCAATTCATACTCACCATCAGTTACACAAAGTACGGTCAATACATATAAACACATCCTCTTATTCTTTAACAAAGCCAAGATCCAGGAACTCTGCCAGGCTTAATGCGGTTCACACTCAACAACATTCACACTAACGATAAGAGGCACACTAGATTACATAAATGGAATGACACCAATTTGGAATTACATTAAACTATGGGACAACAAATCTAACATAGAAACCTCTTCATTGTACTCTCTCGATCTCTCTCCTCCCGATATATTTCACTCCTTTCACACTTGCACACAATTCCTCATCTACTCTATACCTATCTTCTTTTTTTCTCCTTAGCGCACTCACCCTCAGTCATAACCTCCTCTGATCTACCAAACCACAAAGACAACACCACAAAACAACTATGAAATCATCACACTATTTCCTCCACTTCACATTTCCTCGTTCTGTTCTCTCGACTTAAACTTTCTTATCGCTCACCATCAACACATCAACATGCTACGACTTCCACTAGGACTACTCGGTTCGTCACGACTACGCTAACGGTCTACGATTTCATCACCTGGTTCTCGACACACTAATCGTAGCATTTCGACTAACGAATCCACCTCTCCAGAACAAATCAACATCGGACAATACAGTCATAGTACTAGGTTCGTAGTTTGAAATTGTGTTTTGAGACGATTGTTAGTAGGTAACTTGACCAAATTCATTCGTTGTATTTCTTTTGCTGTCTGTGATTTTTTCAATTTATTTCATGCGACACTTGAGTCATGTAAGGTTAGCGTTCTGCATGGTTGGCCTCTAAACCAACCCAATCACCACCTAACAACATTCTCTTAAAGCTACAACTAAACTAACAACCAAGTGGCGGGGAGGATGCAAACGATCAAATGCGTTTTCATCAATATCTTCGTTGTGCGGAGTGTGATGACGTTCCGTCATGATACGACGACAATCTCAAGGTGGATCCTGTGACACGTCATCCTATCGATTAACTAACTCAAAACCTGCTTTCAAATTTCCACCTGCGCATCGCCAGTCCATTCCGACCGGCCATTCCATCGGACCGCCCACTGGCCCGGGTATGAATACCCCCATACCATAAACCAAGGACCACCAACTCGCACCTCCAGCCACTATTGACCACCACTCTGAAGCACCAATCAATATTCAATAACATAATTCTAATTCAGACGAGGGGCTAACCAGACATAACGTTGACCAATGTAGAAGATAAATTGTATAAGTTGTTGTAGAAGATAAATTGTATAAGTTGTAAGTTGTGATGTATGGAATAAAAAACTTTGCTTCGAGGTTTTATGGCATAAGAGTTGTTAATAAAAATAGTTATTCATAAGTGTTGTTTAATAAAATAATTTAATGTTAGTCGCATCATGAAGCAATCTACCACTCTACCCTCGAAACAGTGGGGTGGGAGACGGAAATGGTGCATGACAGCAGATGGTGGCGATAATAAGGAGTAATAAAAGGCGTTGATATGTGAGTGTCACTAGATTCCTTGAGCCTTTTGTATGGTCAGTAGAACATCTGTACTGAAATGTTTCATGTAGGGTGAGACGTGAGCGCATTTGGAGGTGGTATCAAGCGATATCAGGTAATATGAAGTGATAATATGAATGAGATGGGAGATGATGAGATTGGTGATACGTAACAACAAAAACTGCCTCCATAAGTAGGATAGAGTAGTGCAGGTTAGAGCAGATAACGAGAAGAAAACGGTTCGCACCTCCACGACTACAAGACGAAATGTTAAGATACAAGGGCCCGTAGTAAACTACCCTTAAAGCAACAGTCTAAGAACGAATTCGAGGCTTAAGCGGTCGGCAGCGAAGTTGTAGGTAAAGAGTTGACTGGTAATAAAGGAAAAAACAAAGAAATCCGCTGGTGAAGCCTTTAAACAGGTTTCACCTTTTGGGCGAGCTGTCTGAACACTTGCTTCGCCAGGTTTCAACCGCATTTACCCTAATACAATTAGAGACATATGCACCATATAAAAATAGAAATATAACAATCAAATGAAATAGGCAAGTGAAACCAGTGAAAAAACGCGGCAATGATTAGCAAATGGGCGTTCCCAAAGATATTTGCGACCGCCCCTGTCATCGGCCTCTTCCTCGCTTCTTTGCGACTTCCTAAGGTGGGATTTTTGGTTAGTGACACTTCCTATGGTCTTGATTAGGGCT